AAACGTTCGTCAGACCCTCTGGTAACTTTTGAGGAATCTTCGGAGATCTTCGGAAAATCGTCAAAAATGTTGTCATTAGTATGTTTATACAATAAACAGAATATTACATGTCTGCTTGTGGATACAAATTTTATCGAGTTAATTAAATCAAATTTATTTTTTCCCTAGATGTATAAGAAGATTCTCCAAAAAAATTTATTGATAACTAACAGATGACTCTATAGCCAGTCCTGAGCAATGTACTGACATCCAAGACTTAAGAGATCTTTATAAGATATTCATTTTGTGGCAACTATACCCTTAGAGCTTATGATTTGCAGCACTGTCAAAACTTGAAATCAAACAATCTGTTGTTCAGTCTTTGTTTACGAGGGCCAGTCTTGTCTCTTTTTTAACTTAATATTGATTTGGTCACATTTATTTCCTGTTTTGTTTTTCCTTTCATAGCTGTGGTGATGGCTGAATCCCTTTGTTGATTACAAAAGCAGTCTTCCCTCCAGTTGTGACCACCTCTCCTCAGTGACCAGTTTTCCAAACTACCAAAAGTTTCCCATTCAAATCACTATATTTCACTATACGTCTTGTAAGCGACCACCTCTCATAAGTGACCGTGACCACTTTTAGAGCTAAAAGTTTGAAATTTTCTTTGCTTTAACCTCTCGTAAACGACCATTTGATAGATAATACTAAATAGAGCAGAAATTGGATAATAAGATGTTGTAATATTATCGCATTCTTGGGTTGTACAAGAAACAGAAATTCTCAATGGGAATAACAGGAATTTTTTCTCAAAATTGAGTTTCCACAAGTAAAAACATTGTGCCTACAGAAATTCTGACAATGGCAATCAAAGAGCAACTTCAGAATGTGGTGTTTCTTTTAAAGAAACTTCACCTAAAATAATTTTATCATGCAATTTTTTCTAGTTTCACATTGCTATGGGTCTGTGGAGCCAATTTACCAGAAAATAAGCAAATTTTTAGGCTACAATAAGTTCTGCGCTAACGGGGGAATACGCAGAAAGAACTTTGGAAAGACTAAAATAATTTTTGTTTCGTGCGGTTTTTTCGGTTTTTAATAGGTCCCTACACTCCCCTCCTTGTGGGGTGTTTTAAGATTTATTTTAATTTAGTTTTCTATATTTTGTGGACGTTTTTAATAAAACAATTACTCCACTCGCACTTGTTGGATACAAGATGATTGTAGCCAACTTGGTGCTACACGCCTTGTTGCCTATAAATCTACCATCTAATATCCAACGTGCGCTTGTGGAACAATTATTACATAAGCTAACTTTGCAACACAGTTCACACTCTATATCAAGTTAACCTGCGAACACAGATGGATTTCTGCCTTTTGTTTCAAACATTTTTCAGCGGCTTTAACCCATTGACTCCTGGAGCTTTTTGCCAAAAATACATTTTTTTGGACATTTTGGAGATTTTCAGGCTGGATATGGGCCAAATTAGCTCCAATCTACACAAAAAGGCATTCGCAACATGACAGCATGCCTTTCTTTCCACTACATGTAGCATCGTGTTTTACAACATTTTTGCTTGGGCATGCACAGAAATCAAAATTTTGAAAGTGAGCTACATCTTAAGGCTTTTCGATTTTTTTATTTTTTTTTTGTGTTTCCTTTTTCTCTTTTTGTTTTCTTTTTGCTGCAGTGATTGACCATCTACTGGGCTTACTTCCAATTTAAAACATTCTGAGAAAGCATCAACGAGACGAGCAATTTTTGCCATGGAGTAGCCTCATGTAGTGGCAGGAAATTTTGCTCTGAGTTTTTCACTCAACTTTTTGAGCATTTTCGTGTATATCTCAGGCTCCATTNCATTGGGCCGATCACTCTGATCTGGGTATCGTTGGAAAGATCTTTTCCTCCTGCAGAAGTTGAGCATAGATGATGCCAAATTTTGGTCAAAGCTAATGACGTCAGAAGGGGAAGAAAGGCCAAGGCTCGCCATGGCCAGTTACCACCAGCACAGGAGTCAATGGGTTAAACAAAAGCTAGAAATCCGTCTATGTTTGCAGGTTAATATCACATCTGCTGGTTTCAAAAACAAATTGACTGAAAACTCCATAAATATTCATAAAACAACAAAAGTGTTGGAAAATGCACTTTCAGGCTTGCAGTGTATTAAACCTGTTTACGGCTGAACTTGAGTTTATCTATCTGTTTGCTGTCATAACATTCACAAGTTGTCATCATGCACAATGAAAAGATTCCTGCTCACCTAAAGGTCCTGAATATGCTAAATGCCCAGACACTTAAATAAAGGTTTTGCTGTTGTTGTTTGTTGTTGAACATCCTGAATCTCGAAGATTAACGAAAAGAAGGCTAATGACAGGTTGCCCTTTGTGTTTTGTCTGTTTACCTTAAAACAAGGCACCACCAGAGTGCAATGCATCCTGGTCGTCGTGCAGTGCATTCTGGTTGCTGCGCAGTGCATTCCGACAAAATCTCGATTTTGCATAGATTTCTTACACATCCTGATTATAACTGGTGCTTGCTCGCTGTGCTCCCTCTACGGCAATGAAAGCTCAAGATTTGAAAGCTCTCGCCACTAACAATTAAAAATAATTTCTAAGTGGTGAGAAGTCTCGAGCTTTATTGTGTAAAAAAAAAAAAGAGAGATTAAAACAGATTCTCATCCTAATTTCCTCTTCTGGAGGTCATACACATACCAGGGGTTTATGATTAGTTCATCTGCCCCCCTAATCGAGGTTGAAGTAACATGTGGAATGCTCACAAATTTGTCCCTGTCCCTGTAATTAAGGTGTCCCTTAAATTAGATGCAAATATTTTAAGAGCATTCTACTAAGACATTAGAGTTTGTAATTCCTTTTTGATGGAGATGTCCCAAAGTGAAGGTTCT